AAATCCAACCAGAATACCTCTAAGCTCAAGACAAAAATGACTCAACTGTTGCAAAATTTGTACAAAATCCGTCATAAATGAGTTAAAATTCACCAAAAAATAATCCAGAACCACTTGAAAACTATCCAACACACCTCAACCCGATCCAAAACTTTGCCCATATTTGGCTCAGTTTGTCCAAAAAGGTCAAAAAACAGCCCAAACCCACCCAGAATGCCTCAGAGCTTCCTGTTCACGTTCATGAGGTGAGTTCTTTGGTGGGAATCGTCGCACATCCTTATTTCTCCGACTGTAGCTGTGAGGAGCAGCATGTGCTAAACAGGCCTCTCACGTCGTTTGCAGGTTCGGAGTCGGCTGCTGTCGCCCAGCGTGGCGCGTCTGCTGATTTGTAATCAGCGCTGTAATTTTATAGCCGTATTTCACTTATTTAATTAGCGCCGCTCCATCTTTTATTTAAGGGCTTACGTTGGAGCGAAGGGAGCCGTCCTCCTCCTGCTTCTGTTGTTTATTTATAAACGCAACAACAATAGAAAGGTTAAATATTGACGGAGCGTCGGGAGCTGTTTACGTACGCAGACGAATGTGGAGCTTCAGAGAGGAAGCAGAAAGGTCACGGTGAGGTCAGCCCCGGTGCTCTCCAGGAAACCGTCCAGGAATGACTCTGGAGCACGGCTCAGGGTTTCTGCACAAAGTCCATCAGCGAGCAGCGTCGGTTCATGACGTTAACAGCTCAGCAGCCGTCTATTAATCAATGTTATTTAATGGTTTCCCCTGTAACCACCCTGGAATGCTTTTTCTGTATGAAAGTGGAGCCTTTAGGAGCCGCGTTAGTGCTGATGTTCAGCTGCTTTGTAGACGTTTTCTCTCCAGGTTTGTTTTTCTAATGGTGCCACAAAGTGACTGTAAGACGTCAGCTTCATGTGTTTTCTACAGATTGCTCAGTTTCGTTGAATTACAGATACTACAAATAAAAAGAAGGTGTTCGTCTACATGGTAATCCTTCAAAACAGAACAACACTGAATAATGTCCACTTTAAAAAAATCTGATTTTAGACGTCGTATTCAGTTCGTTTACATTTTACTGTATAATTTCAGTTTATGCCGTATTTAAACCAGAAAAAAAAAATCATTATTTTACAGACATTTGCTCTTATTCAAAAGAAAATTATGTATTCTGTATTTTAACAATTGGAAAATGGTAAATTATTTTTATTATTGTTATTTTAAGTATTGTCCCTGTTTTAGTTTAACAAAAACACGTGTTATACAGTCACAGAAAAAAGGATCATTTATATCTACATTTTCCAGATAGTTGCTTTTATTTAAAAGAAATTTTATATATATTAAGGTTTGAAAAATGTTCTATCATTTTTGTAAATGTTATTTTAGATTTTCCTTGTTTGGTTCAATTACAGAGAGTGTCTCGTAAAATTGCAAAAAATAATAAAAAATAAAAGTCTTATTATTATTAAGCCAAAAATAACAGGCCCAAACTGTGACAACTGTTGACATAAATATATATATATATATATATATATATATATATATATATAATTTTAAAAATATTAATTCTTTCCTTCACCTTTTTACTGGATTTAATAAATAAATAAATAAAATCAACATTATTTTAATTTAATTATTTAATCCATATTTCATTTTGTAAATTAAGAAAAATGGTAAAACATTTTTTAAATGTTATTTTAAAGATTGTCACTGTTTTGTTATAATGTAGATAATATCTAATAAAATCACAGAAAAAAAGGATTTTTTCAGTATTTATAGTAATTTACTTCTTTTTTGTTCTTTACAGTAAAATTGCACCATTTCTACTGGATTTAAATCAGCAAGCATATCAGATATTTACAGTCTGTTATTTGAAAGCAAAATTATGTACATTACTTTAAAAACATATATATTTAAGTCATACTTATAGAGTTTCCCTGTTTTACACATCGACAGATAAAATAATAAATCAGATCATAACTATAGAAAAGAAAAGAAAAACGGACTAAAACTGTCCACAATATTCACTCAAGTATCTGTATTTATACAAATAATAATCTGTCTTTTACAGTGATTATCAGTTTAAGGTCTGTTTGCTTTTTTTTCTGTAATTTTTGAATGTATATTTTTCCAGCTTGTTCTGTTCACTCACTTTGGACCGACCGGCTCCAGCTCCAGCATCAGTTAAACCCCAGTATTCATCTTATTCATGCTCCTCTTCAGGAACATATCGATCCGTGTATTTGCTGACGTGCCTGGTGCCCAACAGCTGATCCTCGCGATGCCTTCGCTGCCAGAAAACCCCGTTGAAGAGCTTCCTCTCCATCTCTTCCACATCTAAAGAGAGCAAAAGGTGATGCTGAGGTGAAGAAACCACGGCAGCAGCCTTCCTGTTCCTATCTTTCATCCTAGACGTGTGAACACTTTTCCCCTCCCGACTCGTTTCGAGCTTCGGATCACGTTCGGGGAGCCCAGTCGGTTCTAATCACACTCTGCTTGTAGTGCTTCCAGCGGCCGTCGCTGTAACCGAGGGGGAACCGGCGGCGAGGAGAATACCAACCAGGACGCGGAGCGATGCTGGATCAGTACAGATAGAGTTACTGTAGCAGAGATCAAAGCCAGGCGCTCCGGAGCACCAAGATGAGACTTTCTTAATGAAATCTTAAAGTTTCGGGGTTCTCACGTCCGCCAGCAGATGGCGCCGAGTCGCCCGTATGGAGGAAAGAAGCAGTTTGCTCAATTTATGTCAAAAATAATTGTCAGAAAGCGACTGTCCTGTGGGAGTCGTGTTCGTGTGATTCCAACAAGCACCAAAGCCGCTCGGGCCTGAATTTACATTTATTGAGATTTGTTCCGACTCGTGTGAGACTCCTCGGCCCAGACTGACCTGGTAACCAAAATAAAAACCAAAAGGAGGATAGCGTTGTAGCTGAGGAAGCCTCTGGAGGAGCAGGTCGAGGCTCCTCCTCGTGTGAAAGCGACACAGAGGAGGAGGCCGTAGGCGACGAGCTGCTGCTGCCTCGAGCTGCTTCACCAGCCGGCACATACGACTGCTGCCGCCGCCGCTTCACACGCTGCTACACTGACATCTCTTGGCCTCGACGGGGAACTGAAGCAGGGCTGCACCGTCCACGGTCATGTCAGATAAAACATCTAAGAGCTGTGTGTTTATGAGGAGGCTGAGCTCTTTAACCAGAAGGAATCCTGTGTTTGGTTCATATGGTGTCACCTCAGAGGTCTCAGGTTGAACAGATGATGTCTGGGAGGAAAAACCACATGAACAGAAGTCTGTAGGTTGAACTGAGAGCTCACAAAACCAATA